TTAAACAGCAATTCTATTCCATACCATGAGAAATGAAAACACATTCCATGTAAAACTAATACATGAATATTTATAGTATTATTCTTAACTGCTTGGAAAGTAGAAACAATCTAAATTTTCTCATCTGATAAACTGATAAAATGTAGTATAACCATACAATGAAATATCTTCGCAATAAAACAAAAGTAGGTAGAAATGCATGTTGTTTTAACGGATGAAACATGAAAACATTATACTCAGTGGTGAGAGGAAAAACTATATCCACCTAGGGAGCACATTCAATGGTTTTTTAGCATATCAACAGAATCCATTCACCACAAAGTTTACAAAAACAAACATGCATTTCACTATTGTGCTATACACCCAGCCCTAGTGAAGTTGTTATAAAAACCATTTTGGTTACAAAGTACAATAAATGTAATGATACATCAAATATTTCTATACCTTGAGGTATAATTGCTCTTTTAAAATAACATAATTCCAAACTGTCACCCATCCTAGCTCATTCCTCTTCAACCAATAAAAACATACATTTCTTGCCATATTTACTAGCCTACAAGATGACTACAGTGCAATCTGTATCTGACCTTCATCAACCTGCTTAACTATATGTCCCCCATCAATAGCTCCAAATGCACTGCAGCCCTAAGTTGTTTTAAAAGCAACAATTTCAAATTACCAAACACTAAGTGTAATTTAACTCTTCCCAATTCCACGTTGCCTTCAACTCTATCCTCTTCATTACTGCATAAAGAGTCCAAATTCCTAGTATTTGTGCTCATTCCTGAGATATGGGTTTCTCTTTCCCTTCATTATCGTACTGGGGACAGAACCCAAGCACCTGTATATGCTAGATAAGACTCTGCCACTGAGCAACATCCCTAACCCCCACCTTTTTTTAATTTATATTTTTATTGTAGTTGGATGCATTACCTTTATTTTATTTATTTATTTTAATGTGGTACTGAGGATGGAACCCAGGGACCTGCACATGCTAGGCGAGCACTCTACTGCTGAGTCACAACCCCAGCCCCAGATCCCCAACCCTTTCTTAATACTTAATTTTGAGATAGAGTCTAAGTTGCTGAGACTGGCTTTGAACTTGTTCCTGCCTTAGCCTCTGCTGTAGCTGGATATACCACACCTGGCAAATACTTGGGTATCTACTATCAACAATAAAACAATCTGAAGAACAGTTTCCCATGAGGATATGGTGTAAGAACTACCCCAAAATGTACTTCCTACAAATAAGCCAGAGTAATAGTTCATTTAAAAAAACAAAAACAAAAAAACTAATCTGATCATGTTATTACTTGATTAATAATACCTTACAATGATTCCAATTTGTTTTGAGGGTAAACTGTGAAGTCCTTGACAGGACCTAGATGGTCAGCCCCAAAGTTGGCTTACTTTTCCAACCTCATCTCTTCCCTCTTCCCTCTATACATCACCAGCCTGCCTCTTCTAACCTTCCTAGGTACACTTAGAATAGGTAGTTGTCCCCACCTATGACTATCTGGTCAAAGCCAGGCAATGATCTACCTCATATCTAGTGAATCTCATAGCTCATATTCATATTATAATTATCTTGTTTCATCATACTCTAAGACTCCAACCACGGTGACTGCATCTTATTCATGCTTTTAAAGAAAATTAATAGCTTTTTTTTTTTTGAAAGAGAGAGAGAGAAAGTTTTCAATATTTATTTTTCAGTTTTCAGTGTACACAACATCTTTATTTTATTTTATGTAGTGCTGAGGATCGAACCCAGGGCCCCGCGCATGCCAGGCAAGCACGTTACCACTTGAGCCACATCCCCAGCCAAGAAAATAAATAGCTTTTAAAAAAAAGTGTATGTGTAAGACTCCTTTGGCGCAAGAATTAAAATCAAGAATCAATAAATGGAATGGACTAAAACTAAAAAGTTTCTTCTCAGCAAAAGAAACAATCTGTGAGGTGAATAGAGAGCCTACATATTGGGAGCAAATTTTTACCCTTCACACAGAGCAGTAATCTCTAGGGTATATAAAAGACTCAAAAAGTTACACAACACTTACACACACACAAAAGTCACACAACAACAACAACAAATAACCCAATCAATAAATGGTCCAAGGACTTGAACAGACACTTCTCAGATGATAATATACAATCAATCAAATTGATAAAAAAAAATATTCATCGCTAGCAATTAGAGAAATGCAAATCAAACCCCTCTAAGATTTCATTTCACCCCAGTCAGAATGACAGTTATTATGAAGACAAATAACAATAAGTGTTGGTGAGGATGTGGGGAAAAGGTACACTCATACACTGCTGGTGGGACTGCAAAATGGTGCAGCCAATATAAAAAGCAGTATGGAGATTTCTTGGAAAATTGGGAATGGAACCACCACTTGACCCAGCTATCTCTCTCCTCGGTCTATACCCAAAGGACTTAAAAATAGCATACTACAGAGATACAGCCACATCAATGTTTATAGCAGCACAATTCACAACAGCTAAACTGTGGAACCAACACGAATGCCCTTCAGTGGATGAATGGATTTTTTTTTTAATGTGGCATATATACACAATAGAATATTACTCAGCAATAAAAGAGAATAAAATCATGGCATCTGCAGGTAAATGGAGTTAGAGAATATAATGCTAAGTGAAGTAAGCCAATCCCAAATAAACAAATGCCGAATGTTTTCTTTGATATAAGGAGGCTGATTCATAGTAGGATAGGGAAAGGGAGCATGGGAGGAGAAATAGACTTTCTCTAGATAGGGCAGAGGGTTGGAGATGAAGGGAGAGGGCATGGAATTAGAAATGATGGTGGAACAAGATATTCATTATTATCCAAAGTACACGTATGAAGACACGAATTGATGTGAATATACTTTGTATACAACCAGAGATATGAAAAAATGTGCTCTTTATGTGTAATAAAAATTGTAATGCAGTCTGCTGTCATATTAAAAAAAAATGGAAACACTTTCAGCCCATAGAGCCCACACAGTTAATTATAAAGTCAAATACCAGAAGCTGGAAATCTTCTCACTTTCTACTAAAACAGATCATTGGTCATTTAAAAATATAATATTAAAATCTCTGAAAATCTATCCAAAGTATGTGCACAAAGCTGATAAATCTAGAGTGCACATTGAGGACACTTGTTCTCCATAAAGAAATAAGGACCGAGGGGCTGGGGTTGCAATTCAGTGGAAGAGCGCTTGCCTAGTATGTGTGAGGCACTGGGTTCGATTCCCATCACCACATATAAGTAAACTGATTAAATAAAGTTCCATTAAACAACATGTGTATGGGTGTATTCATTTCTTTACCCCCATCACCTACTGAAACTCCTGGGCAAAACACTTCATAAATATTTATTCAATGAAGTGAGCAGGGCATTGAGTTTGGTAGAATTCCAAAAGGCAGAAAAAAAGTGGCAAAGGAAAGAGGAGAACTAAAGAAATCCTGAAGTTTAGGCCCCTAGGTACCTTGAAGAACTATGGGTCCTTTACAGAAAGGACAGATCTGAGGAAAACCCGCTATGGGGAAATGAAGTATTTAGGTTTTAGAAATAGTCTGTGTTTACTATGTTGGAAAAGAAATGTGATTGGGCTGGGGCTGTAGCTCAGTCGTAGAGCGCCCTCCTCACACGTGTGAGGCACTTGGTTCGATCCTCAGCACCACGTAAAAATAAATAAAGATATTGTGTCCAACTACAACTTAAAAAAAGAAAGAAAGAAAGAAATGTGATTATCAAGATATGACTTAAAGATTAATGTATGTTACAACAAACTACCTCAAGGCAGAAAATGGATAAAGAGAAGCAAAGGGGGAAAACCCAAAATTTAATAATTCAAACACTTGTTGTCTTTGAAATATTGAGTTTATCTCTGGGTACAAAAGGTACATACTGAACAGCTGTAGCTAAACAATCAAGTCTTACTATATTCCATCTAGATCAAAAGGTGATCTAGTCTTCAGTCACTACTAATACCCACACACTTTCACTTTTCCTTATGTCCAAAAATATTGCCCCAACATTTGCTTCTTCTAATACTTACAAAACTACACACACACACACACGCAAATATGTGTGTGTGTATTTTTTTTTAAAGTGCCCTTTCAGTAAAAGCAATATTTTCTGGGCCAGTTTAATCATAATAAAACGCAGTATTTTGAAAGAATGGCATAAAAGGTAAATTGAAATAGCGAACATCTAACTTTCAATACTTCAAAGAATTACTTGGCACTATATTGGGCACCATGAGGAATACAAAAAGAAAGACCAAGAAAACAATGAAAAAAATGATTAATAATTTTTAAAATACCATCTTAGATATGTTTTGAGAACAAAAGGATCACTCAGTCACTCTTTTCTAGGGTTTTAATACTATAACTAAGCTTAAATAATCTTTCATAGGAACAAAATATCTCTATCATCTTTTTAAAGTACTATCTACCTCCTTCCATGAAAAGGTCTTTTAATGAAGTACAGTAAGGAAAACTGAACCTCTATTAACCCTGTTTGTTCCATCTGAAATAAAACTGGAAGTTCCAAAAGGTGATGACATGAAAATGATATGGTTAATTCTTATACAATGCTACTACCTTTGGATTTTTACTAATGTTCACTAGGCAGTGAATTATCCTTAAATTCTAGGAAGCTTTAAACTTACATAGTGCAAAAAAAAAAAAAAAAATCTTTAAAAAGAAAGTTTTGGTGTCCCTCTTGTGTTTCGAGGTATAACGCTATCTACCATCACACAGATGCTGTGAAATATCATTATGTGCCTAACTCTTCTATTAGTAGCAAGTCAAGCATTGGCCCAATCATGAGTGTTTCTCAAGAAAAAATGTGAAATTAACAAGTGGCTATGTAGTCAATAAAAACATCAGTCTTGTACAAAGACAAAAATACCAAATCTTAACTATTTTTTAATTAATTAATAGTTAAAAATAGTTAACTTTTTTTTTAGTTAATTTCTGATGGGTTTTGTTACCTCTTCTTTTAGTGCATGTTTCCTCTGTTCCAAACAGATCTCTTTAGCTCTCATCATCTGCAAAGTCTCTTTAGAAACTGCATACTGAAGTTTTTCCATACGTTCAGCAGCTGCTGCCCATGATGCTTTACCAAATTTCTTCTGATCTGCTCGCATTCGATCGTACACAGCTATTAAAATACAATCATTTTTTTAAATGACACTAAGAAATAGAACTTGACATTACAGAATTAGAAAATGTTTGGTTTCACTGACCACATAAATCTTATCTCCATAAGTTACCTACCAACATCTCTAAAATATAATGACAATATTGTACAGTCTCTCTAATGTCTTCAGTTTCAAAAATAATGTTCTGCAGATGAAACTTAGTGTCCAAGTAGTTTAAATTTTTTTTTTCAAATACTTTCATGTCTAGTGTTAGTAACTTTCAAAACTTTATCAGAACTTTATTCTGTTAAGGTTTTGACAATCTGTCCTAACTATGCTAGATGAAGGAAAAACCATGACTATTTAAGATTATAAACATTCAAATCGACATTCCTAGTTCTATCATTCTTTTCCCTCCAAAAATATCATAACACCCTGAGGTGGGAGAGAAATAAGTTCTAGATAACATGGTGCTCGTGCAGAGGAGATAAAAACAATACAATTGATTTTCAGAGAAGACACAGCCCTGACCCATCCATCAAAAAGGAAGAACTTTTTAGTTTATCACTGCAGATCTAGTTCAAAATATAAATCTGGTGGCTAGGTGAAGCTGCACATGCCTATATTCCCAACAACTTAGGAGGCTAAGAGGGAGAATCCAAATTTCAGGCCAGCATCAGCAACTCAGAATGTGGGGACAAAGCTCAACGGTAAAATTCCCCTGGTTTTAATCTCCAGTACCAAAAAAGGACAGACAGACAGACAGACAGACACACACACACACACACACAATCTTAGTAGTCAAAAGGCTAACATCTTCCAGTTAAAAAGTAGCACTGATAAGTAGCACTGTAGTAGCTCATTCTGGTCTTACGTGATTGATCCAAACACACTTTTATTAGCATAAAACAAACTAAATTATCTTTTCTTGTTCAAGCTCAAAGGCTTTTGGGCATGATAAAGTGCTTAGAATTTAGATAATAAGAAATCTGAAATGATTCTATTGAAGCATGTGGAATCCTAGGATAATGCCCATAGGAAAAAACATCTGAAACTGGAGATGAAGTTACAAATAAGAGCAGTAATCTATAAATTGTTTACACAGGTCCTGGGGTTGTGGCTCAATGGTAGAGTGCTTGTCTAGCACATGTAAGCACTGGGTTCGATCCTCAGCAACACATTAAAACAAATTAAAAATTTACAGGGTGCAGTGGCACACGCCTGTAATCCCAGCAGCTTGGGAGGCTGAGACAGGAGGATTGGGAGTTTACAGCCAACCTCAGCAAAAAGCAAGGCACTAAGCAACTCAGTGAGACCCTGTCTCTAAATACAATACAAAAAAATAGGGCTGGGGATGTGATTAAGTGCCCCTGAGGAAGGAAGAGAGAAAGAAAGGAAATAAAGGTGTTGTATTCATCTACAACTGAAAATATTTATAAAATAAATTGTCTATATAGAATCAAAACTAACAAACTATGAATTACATGAGGATTTAATGACAGAATCACTGCACTTATAAGCTGTATACAGAACTGATGGACACAAAAAGTCACACAGAACTGAAGAGGATCACAAAAGTGAGGGTTTTTTGTTGTTGTTTTGTTTTGTTGTGTTTTTAATTTTTCTGTAATGGGTAGAGATTTTTTTTCTCAACTAGAAGTGTGTTGTGTATCTAGACACTATCCTTAATATCGTATTTTCCTTTTTAAAAAACTTTTTCATTAAAAAATTATAATACAGCTTCATGGTCATGGAACTTTAACTTTGTTAAGAAACCATAAAATTATTTTCTAAAGTGACTATAGAATTTTGCATTCCTAACAGAAATGAAGAGTTCCAATTACTCTATATCCTCATCATTACTTAGTATGTTAGTATTTTTAATTTTAGTCACTGTAATACACATTAGTGGTATCTCTCACTGTGGTTTTAATATGTATTTTGTGGTGACTAATGACATTGCACTCCCCCCCACCCCCCGTGCTTGTTTGCTACCCTTATCCTCTGATGAAGTGTCTGTTCAAGTTCTCTTCCCAACTTTTCACTGGATTATTTTCTCATTTTTGAGAGTTCTTTATGTAGCCTAAATACAAGTTATTTTATCAGACGTATGCAAATATTTACTCCCAATTACACTCTTAATTGTCTCATTCTATTTAAAGTGTCTGGCAATATAAACATTTTAAACTTTTGATGAGATACATTTTACCAAGTTGCTCATTTACAGTCTGTGCTCTTTTTGCTTTTAGCTTTTTACAGTTCATATCTGTGGTATTACTAAGAACTCTTTGCCTAATCCCAAGTTATAGATTTAGGTAATTCAAGGAAATAGATTTTTCTTTTGGAATTACATTCTACATTTGAATCTATGATCCATTTGAATTTAAAGAAGGTTTATATCAAAGTTCAGTTTTCTGTATGTAGATGGTCAACTGTTGCAATATCAAGTGTTGTCTCACTATTGATTTGCTTTATCAAAGATTAAATGGCCATATTAGTATGTCTATTTCTTTACTACTATTCTCGATCACTGATTTTAAAGGAAAGGTAAGTGTACCCACATATGCCTGCCTACAAAGTAAACACCTTAATTTGCTATGGTCTTTAACTGCTAGGATAAATGATCCTATGTTTTTCTGTATAATTATTCCCAATGTAAAATACTTAATCACTCATCTTCAAAAATGCCTAAAAAGAATAATTTTACTGGGACTTACCTTTTTGAGCTTTTGCTGTTATTTCAAAATATTTGACTGTAAGATCTTGAATAGATAGTACAGCCATATGAGCTTTCCGCTGCCAGTCGGCATCTTCTTTTTGTAGACTCTCAATTCTTCGGGGTCCCAGATAATCATTTTCCATAGAAATCTTTAGAAAGAAAGAGAAAAAAATTTAAAAAAAAGGAAAGAAGCCTTTTAACTCACTCTTCTTCAAACATTTACTAAATGCTTATGTGTCAGCCATTAAGCTAGGTGCTAATAATCCTATACTTCTTTCACACTGCTCTAGAAGAGATGCTATTAATTTAAAAAAGAAGTGATTAATGATGAAACAGACTATTTGACATAGAAATCTATTTTCCATGCCTCTCCGCTACACTCTTCCATCTCTTCCCCTCAATATATAAATAAAGGATATAAACCAAAATGTTAAAAATCTGATTATTTTGGGGTGTTGCAATAATGAACAATTTATTCTGTCCTTTACAATAACTACAAATTCAGGTTAAAAATTATCTATGTGGAGCTGGGGATGTGGCTCAAATGGTAACGTGCTCACCTGGCATATGCGAGGCACTAGGTTCAATCCTCAGCACCACAAAAAAAAAATAAATAAATAGATATTGTGTCCACCTAAAACTAAAAATAAATAAATATTTTTGAACAATCATCTGTGCACCGCTTCTGTAACTTAGCAATATCCTCTCTCAAAACAAAAAAGGTAGTTTAGTGGTAGAGAAGGAAGGAAGGAAGGAAGGAAGGGAGGGAGGGAGGGAGGGAGGGAGGGAGGGGAAAAAATAGAACAGAAGGAAAGAAAGAAAATGGAAGGAAGGAAAGAAAAAGAAAGGCAAGATAAAAGAGGAATAGAAAGGGAAACAATTATTTGTGCAATAAAATATTAGTTTAATTTACTGCCATTAAATAAATAAAATACAGAAAATGCAAATTTTAAGACTGATAATACATAAAAATTAGCCCATGTGCATACTGATAAGGCCCATGACTGAGGCTTAAGGAATTCTTACATTCTGATGTTGGGTAAAGAAGGACCTACAGACACCAAGTCAGACATAAGGAAATTCCAGAAGCAGTAAGATTCAGAGGAGGAAAGACTCTCATTGTCACACTCCACTTAGTAGAAGAAAAGGATGAGGACTAGTATCTATGGACATAATAAGATCACTGTACTTAGCAACATGGTTCTGACCTAAAAGGTAAACTCCCTTTGCTTTTTAACTTCCATCACATCTTTAGAACTCAGTTCATTTATTGGTTTGTGAAAATACCCTGACTTTCCATAATAAGCTAGTTGGTGCAATACCTATACCTTTCCTTCACAACAATTACTACTATACTCATACTTTACCATTATTTTGTGAACTTGCAAATACTAATACAATGTATTGTATTTCCTAAATGACAGAAAATAGAAAAAAATTCCCTTCCATGCAGTTTTGTATCAAGAGAAATGCAGACACACATATATAAATAATATTCCGAGAAATCTTATTATGTGAAGGAATAGAGAAAAAGAGAGACCTGGGGAAAGCAATGGGCTTATCTATGGGACTTTTGCTTTCTATTTTGAGTAGCCACATCTTTTTTTCTTTCTTTCTTTTGGTACCGGGGATTGAACTCAGGGGCACTCAACCACTGAGCCACATCCCCAGACCTATTTTATATTTTATTTAGAAATAGGATCTCACTGAGTTGCTTAGCGCCTCGCCATTGCTGACGCTGGCTTTGAACTTGCGATCCTCCTGCCTCAGCCTCCCCAGTCACTGGGATTATAGGTGGGCACCACCAAGCACAGCTTGAATAGTCACATCTTAATGGGAGATCATGGGCAAGGTGAGGTAATATAAGAAACAAGTATCCAGTGGAGGGCAAATCTAAAGCTGAAAGAGATGGGGCTAATTAGTATAGGGAAATTCCTTAAAAAAAAAAAAAAATAGGGAAATTCTTAAGCAGAAATAACCAGAGATGTTTGCACTGAAAAGTTGTTTGAAATAAAGGCCAGATTTGGATCGTACACATCTAATATGAAAGTTATGCTTAATATGGTTATAAAACACAATTTTATGCAATAGTGTTTATGAAAGTTTTTTTTGGTATTTTTTCCTGGCAGCACTAAAGATAGAACTCAGAATCTTACACATGATAGGCAAGTACTCTACCATTGAGATACATTCTCAGCTCCTGTAAAGGCTTTTTAAAAAAAGTTTTTAATAACAGGAAATGATGCTTATAATAGTAGGTGAGGACAGATCAAAATCATAGACATAAATCCTATTATCTAAAAGAGTTGCAGAAAAAAAAGACAAAATAAAAATAATGTATTATTACTGTTATCTTGTTGTGGTAAATTTTTTTTCCTCCTGCTAAAAACTGCAAACTCACTTTCCCAAATTTTTTTCTTCACTGAATATATACATCTTTCATAGTCATAAGGAAAAAAAAATGACTTGATCTCTTCTTGGGTTCACAAACCATACCAAGTACACAAGGTGAAATCACATTATCCCAGAAGTTTCCCGTTTCTGTTCAAGCAAACAGCTAGTCCATGTTTTCAGATATGGGGCCCACCAAGAAGCAAGACTATGAGTTACCTCCTTTTTTCCAATCTACAGGGAGGGAGGAGAAGTGGAGATATTATCAGAATCTAAATGTCTCCACTAATAGCTAGAAAAGAGAAATATGAATCTATGTGAGTTCCATATCTGGGACTATAAAAAAAATGCCAAACAAAGAAATTTAGGCCAGGAACAGCACCTTTAGTTTCTTGATAGTCAATTCCCTACTAGATCTCCTCCCCCACTTTTGAAATTCTCATTGAAGGTTACTATACCTCCAACTTCAGGAGCCTAACATAATATGCACTGCATATCGTTGGACTTTTCTTCTCCTTTTTAGACTTTCTAATGGCTCTTTCTGGAAATTATTTCAACTGTAGAATTTGAATAGAGAGACTAGTGTACTAGGTGCTTCAAGGAGCACAAGTATATGATTGAGATGCACATTCTCCTCCTAGTAAACACACAATATCTCATTGGTGAGGTGCTACAAAGATATCTGTGATGTAGAAGTCAGTTTTGAAATTAGGAGACACAGCTGTTACTTATTAACTGAGAGCTTTGAAAAATTACTTATCAAGTCAATTGTCCACTCAAAATGATGGCATATTACACATCTGCTCAGTGCCAATATTGCACTGTAGACAGCAAGACATTTGACTTAATGAAAGACATGGGCAATTTAAAGAATTACAACAGAATATGAAAAAAACATCATGACAAAAATTGCCTAAGATACCAAGAGAACACCAAGGGTAGAGGTTCAGGTGCAAAGTCTGGTCAGAACTAAAGTAACAGAGTAGTGGATTCACAGAGAATAAGCAGAAAAAAATTGGGAGAGGAGTAAATATTACAAATAGTGAGCCTCTGGGTAAAAAGAATAAAAGTACTTTAAGACCATGGAGATTTGAGAGTCTGTTGAGAGCAAAAGTAAATAAAGTTAAGTAAGACAATCAGGGGATACAAAGACCACTGAGAAGAATCAGAAGGGGAAAATACATTTAGTTATTTAGATCAGGACATATTTCACTGAATTTCATAACTGCAGATGGCTTTAAAGGAGGACATGACAGGTCTATATGGAGTACAAGGGGAGAGAGAACCCCTGAAAAGGACAAGCTAGAGGCAACTACCAACCTGAACAAAAGTGTAGAGGCAGGCATGTGGAGGGCATGCTAAGGCAGAGAGAGTAGTCTAGCCTTGTAGGAGCTTAGATGAAGCAGATAAAAGCAATGGGAGTGGAGACTAGAAAAGTAGGTTGTGGACACTATGAGGAGGTTTTTAAATGTCAGGCTGAGCAGTGTATTCTTAATTTGACAAGGAAAAAAAAAGCACTGTGGGATTTTAAGCAATAAATAGTATATTTGAACTTTATTTTAGATTCAAGTATTCTAGTGGACCTGGCTGCTCATAATAAAATCATTGAGGTGTATTTATCCCTGATTTTAAAATCTCTGTTTAAAAAGTGAGCATTATTTACAAGGGTGGGATAGAACTTCAATAATGCTGCAAGTCGAAATTTTCATCTCATAGTTAGGATTTATGAACTTTTATTCACAGTATAAACACCAGAGAAATGGAAATAACATGCATTACAGCTTTTAGACATGATAGTCTTTGACATCTACCTGAAGTTAACTGTGCTTTGTTACCTTCACAGAATAAAAAAATGCTCAGTATGCTCTTCTTCTAAGCTGCTTCTTAATTTCACTTCCCAAACTCAGTAGTCACAACATCTATCAAGCCTGAAGCTTGTCTATCAAGCCTAAATTCTTGTCTATCATTTCGAAATCCATCCTTCTGCTTTATAATGCTTAGATTTGGGATCAGCAGATCTCCTTTAGGCTTTTCCAACAAAAGAGTTTGGAAAAGTTTGCTTAATTTTTAATAATTCCAACTCGTTCTTTGTTTGCCCAGTCCTAGGAGGGGTAGCTCCTTTTATAATTGCTTCCTCTGAGGTGCCTTAGAGTAAATTTCTTGATTTCCTAATTATTCAAAATTTTAAGATAGAAATCATTTATTTGCATGTTAAATACTGTATCCTTAATCCACAGGACTTGGGGGGAAGTGTATAATTTACATTAAGGCTTTTTGGGGAGAAAAAAATTTTTCCTTTAAAAAAAATTCTGATAATTATTCGACGATAAGTTGTACATTGCTGTTGAATTAATATCTTCATCTTCTCTACACACACACATTCACGGATATTTAAGATAGACATGCTTTCTATGCTTTTTTCCCTATGCTTTTTAACAGACTTTTTGAACTTAGCTGTAATGTTGTCACTAATAGTTAAGATCCTTAACAGTTTAATGTACCTAAAGCATTAAGCAAGAATATTCTTGAGTTCTTTTCCTAACTTGGTTAACTTGAAGATGTACAGCGTTGGTCTGCTAGATCATGTGCTAAAAACAATGACAACTCTGTTTTGAATTTCATGGCTAGAAAGAAAACAGTCCCTGTTTTAATATGGAAAAAAAAAAATGTGTGTCCCTTTAGGTAGCTAGGAGAGTGAAACTAGTTTATAAATACAAATTTTCTGGCATGAAGTTCCTCATCATAAAGCACATCACTT